TAATGGAACACGTGTGCTGGCCCCTGAGAAGACAGAAGCAGCTGCAGGCCCCACTGGACAGCAAGACTTGTTTTGCCCTCCTGCAATTGTTCTTAAGCCTCCACGACCCTTTCTGAAATCATCACCCATGCTTTTCTTCCTGTGGTCAAGTTCTTTTTAACCCTGGGAAGGCCTCTCTCTCCAGTGACTCACTCTTACCATAACTACCTCCCAGGAGGCCTGCATTTCAGTATTGAGATACTGACTGTGACAAGCTGGCCTCACTGTCTAGTCACTTTCTTTCCTGACCCTGATGCCAGCTGCTCTTTCTCCTTTCCTTTCTGTGGGTTCTCACTCCTGGGTCTCCGTGGCCTCACAGCTTGAGGCTGCTGTGTGCTGCCCAGGGAGTGACTCTTGCGGCCCCATTTTCAGAGAAGGCTCTTGGCCAGGTTTTAGGCGACGCTGTGTACTGGTTCCCTTGGTGATGCCGCCCAGGCTCCTAAACCTGTCTCGTTCTCAGAAGCAATGGGCCACTGTGGCAATGCTCTCCCGTGAAGATTTAAGAACTGAAAGAGACGGTCACATAAAGTACAGAGCCCGGTATACCACATTGCCACAATGATTGGTTTTACATGATGGAGTAGATAAACCAGAAAGTCCAGAGGCTGGTTAGCTGCCACACCAGCACAGGGCGACCCTGGGAATCACGTAGGTTTGCTCAGATCTGGGAACACCAGACACGGAAAAGAGAGACAGCCATGAGACATGGAAGACTTGAAATCTTTGAAGTCTGGGAAAGGCGGTTGGAATGTCCACGGGGGAACTGGAACCAAAGCTGAGTGTGCATGGACAGAGTAGGGGGGACCCTAGATCCTGTGTCTAGGAAAGACTGACTCTGCTTGGAAGACCCAGGAAGACAGAGGCAGGGATGGGGTCAGGGCTGGTACCCGGAGTCCCACTGTGGGAGGGGTCAGAGTGAGTCCATTCACTTCACTCAGGGTCCATCATATCAGCCCTTGTTGCCATGGAGTCCATTTAGTGAGCCTCAGCAGGAGCCAGGCACTCAGAACACACTATTTCACTTCATTCTGGAAAAAGGAATATTATTCTAGATTTAAATTTAGGGAAACAAGGCAGCAAAAAGGCTCTCCAGGTCCGCCTGTGGCTGATCACCCCAACATCTCGTCTCAGAGCCTTTCTCCTCAGACATCCCCATGTAGTCCCTCCCCACTTCTCTCCTGTTCCATTTTCTTAGCACCCCTTAGCTCTATCTTAGCTGTATTTGCTTGCCACTAGTGATACAACTCAGTAGTGTACAGTTACACACACTCATCATCCCGTATTTTCGGAGACCATAGGTCCGAAAATGGCCCTCACTGTCTGTGCCGAGATTAAGGTATGAGCAGAACCGTGCCACCTCTGAAGGCTTCGGGAGAAAAGAAAATTCCCTTTCTTGTCTTTTTCTGTATCTACCTAGGGGTTCCCTGGAATCCTTGACTGGCAGCCCCCTCCTCTGTCCTTCAAGCCAGTAATGGCTGTCATGACTGTCTCAAAATGCCAGTGGCGTAGCCCTGTGATTATTCTGCTTAATTGGTGTCCTTTCCTATCTCAGATCAGACATGAGCAACTTTAGTTCATGCTTGCTATGTGACAGCTTATTCGCAGGTCCTGAGGTGGAGACATGGACCTCTGTGGAACCAGGTGGGGAAGCCGTTATTCTGCCTTACACGGCAGTTGTGTGCCCGATCTAGCCACTCAACTATCTTATCTATCTCCATTCTGAGAACAGAAGATGTATCCGACTGAGCTGAGACCTTGTCTGCCTTGTGCTGAAGTGCTAGAAACCCACCTATACCCGTTGGGTACTCAATAACATTGGCTAAATGCAGGCACTATTAGGTACTCCATAAATATTGGCTCAATGCAGGCTCCGTGGTGTTCGTTTGTCAGCTTGTCCTGAGGAAGTGAAGACAGGAGAATCCCTGGGACTCACCGGCCAGTCAGCCTAGTTATCAGCGAGGCCACGCCAATGAGAAACATTGACTCCGAAGCAGGGTGAACACTTCCTGGGATGTGTGACACCCAAGGTTGTCCTCTGGCCTCCACACATGTGCTCACACATGCTATATACAAACACACACCCATGCACACATACACACTCCCCCACAAGCGTGCACATACACTTAAACACACATAAATAAAGATCGGTTAAATGATTCAGCACCCAGAAAACCTCTAAGGAGAGGAGATGAGCCATTGTGTCCTATAGCCCTGTCCCTCATGGCATCACCAGGGTCCCCCAGTTGGTACCTTCAGGACCTCCCTGCAGCCCAGTGCACCTGGGGTGACACCAGGGCAGTGGAGCATCTGGGGCCAATCACACAGCTAACTCAGACAGTTCTCCTGAGCTGCTCCTTGAGGCAGCTCTTCTCTGGGCTGGCTCACGGGGCCAAGCACGCCCACTTGTCTGCCAGCCGTCACTCCTGTCTCCCAGAGTACCTTGAGAGTTTTACAGAAAGTAAAGAAAGAAGCTGGGAGGAAGAGCCACTCGGGGATATAATTAAGGATAAAAATATGCCACGTCCTGGGCTCTGGCAACCTGGAAACAGAGAACCAGGAAATTGCTTATGTTCCCAGAACTGTGCTGTCTGTATCCAAGTGATCCCAAATGCTGTGTCTAAATTCTTAACAGGGGACAATTTAAAAGTTATGTAAGTGTCTATCTCTTTTCTTTTTCTTGTGATGCTAAGAATTCAACCCAAGCCAGGTGGTGGTGGTGTATGCCTTTGCCTTCGATCCTAGCCCTTGGGAGGGAGAGGCAGGCAGATCTTTGTGAGTTCAACGTCATCCTGGTCTACAGAATGAGCTCCAGGACAGCCAGGGCTACACAGAAAAATCCTGTCTTGAAAACTAAAAAAGAAAAAAATATATATATATATAAATTCAACCCAAGGCCTTGCAGACCCTAGGCAAGTGGTCTACCACTGAGCTACACCCCTAACCCTGCAGAATGCCACTAAAGACAGATTTTGCTTGTGCGAGGTGGGGAAAGGACTTGGAAATAGTGAAACGATGCCCTTCCCTGGTTGTGAGCAGTAGCAGAAGGCTTCTTAAAGTCCGATGTCAAGCACGGGAGGAGGAGACTGACAGGAACGTCTTCTGTCCCCCACTTTTCACCTAGTCTTCTGCCTAGAAACACAGTCTGGCCAATGAGCCCGGCCTTTGCTATCTCCAGTCCTCAGGGACACCTCCCCCATACCATCCACCCGGGGCTCAGTAGATTCCCTTAAGATAAAGGGTGAGTAGGTGGAATAATCTTGACCTCAAGAGGAAAATGAGCACACAGGAAGAACAAGGGGGAACTGTCACGGCCTGCGAGAAATGGAGGAAGCAGTAGGCACCCTTCCAACCCGAGGGACCCACACACGCGTTTACAACACCTGGGACCACTGCGCGCTACAAGCCTAGTGGTTATGTCTGCGGGTTGCTGCAGGCTAGTATGTGCTGTTTCTGCTTTTTCTTGAAGGAAGGTAGAAAGCAGGAATGAGGGCGTTCAGATCGAAAATATGAAACCCAAGCGAAAGCCCCTCACCCCGAGACCAGTTTCCCTTCCTGGAAAGGTATCGGTGTGAGTGCGTGTCTCTCAGATGCAGCTGGAGAATTTGCAATGCATTTGACACCGTAAAAATCACCTTGAAGCATGGCGAGGGCTCACAGAGGCATTCTTTAAAGGTGTGGGGGGGAAGAGCTGCAAAAACTAGACAGGAGCTGGGGCAGTGGCTTAGTCTGGAACGCACCTCCATTGCAAGGTCAAGGACCTGAGGGGATCCCCAGAAGTCACAGATCAGCTCTGGGTGGAGTGAGAATGATCACACTCTCGGCACTGTGCCAGAGACAGGAAGATCCCCATCTTATCCAGCCTAGCGTAACTGATGCGTTCCAGGCCAATGAGGGATCCTACTTTAAAGAATCCTGAGGACACCTGAGGGAACCTCTAGTTTCTACAGGGATGTGCGTGTACACATGTACAAAAACACATACACATATGTGCACACATACACGTATATAAATATACATAAACAAGATGAAGAAATTGTTGACCTCCCAACAGCAACTCCTGGCTTCCCTATAACACCACATACAAACAAAGGAATGCATAATTTAACTTTGTTTTAATTTGGGAATTATTATGTGATGTCTGCTCAGCAAAACAGTTGTGCCTGGTTAGAAGTGCACTGGGATTTTGACAGTTTGGGGCGGGGGGTGTTGCATAGGAACAGGCACTACAGGTTGAGTGATCCTGGTCAACCAGGAATCAGTCTGGGAGAAGTGGTTTGAATGTATGGCCTTTTCTCCCTGGATGTTGGAATATTTCTACATACAACCTGAAGCCAGAGGCCAAGGCAGGACAAAGACACAAGTAAAACTCAAAATTCTTCTGTTTCGTGTAGACCTTACACAGCTTGCCTGAAGGTTGCTTTCTATATTACATTAGCATTCCTATGTTTTGACTGAGACCTGTCATGTGATGTCAGGTGTGGAGTTCCCCACTTGTGACATCAAAAGTTTTGGAATTTGAAGCATTTCGGATTTGAGGTTTCTGGATTAGAGGTACTCCCTGCCGTAGTCACTGTTCCATTGCTGTGAAGAGACACCATGACCAAGGCAACTCTTACAAAAGAAAGCATTTAACTAGGACCTTGCCTACTGTTTCAGAGGTCAGTCTGGTGTCATGGTGGGGAACGTGGTGGCACACAGGCAGACATGGTGCTGGAAAGGGAGCTGAGAGTTCTACATCTTGGTATGCAGGCAGAGAGAGAGAGAGAGAGAGAGAGAGAGAGAGAGAGAGAGAGAGAGAGAGACTGGGCCTCATGTGGACTTCTGAAACCTCAAAATCCACCCCAGTGACACACTTCCCCCAACAAGGCCACACCTCCTGACCTTTCTAATTCTTTTCAAATATTGCCACTCTCTGATGAATAAGCATCCAAATGTATAAGCCCACGAAAACCATTCTTATTCGATGCAATAATTAATTATTAATGTAATAATTACAGTTCCTCTGTAATAATTAATGTGACAATGGCATCCATCCCTTGAGTCCTCAGAAAAGTGTGCATATCTTATATTTAAAACCTTCAAGGCAGAAACTGGCTGGCAGGGTAATCTTTTGATTCTTAGAATTTTATGAATTAGTTGATTAGAGCTACACTAGCTGCTGGCCTCCTGGGAGAGAAGACTCCTCCTTAGGCTGGAACTCCCCTGGGTCAAGTCCAGGCTGGCAGCTACTGGGCACTGTGGGAGAGAGAGCCAGCCTGTCTCACACACGGACATCCTTTCTTTTGTGATTTCTTGTCTTGGCTTTTGTTCTTTCTTCCGCCTAAGAGAAACACGAAAAGCTTTTAAAAATCATTCTGGCAAAGTCTAGCTGCGTGACTCAGGAATAAAGGCACCATTCACACAAACCTGACCACCCGAGTTTTCCTCTCCAGAACCCGCATAAAGGTCAAAGGAGAGAACCACCCCACACCCGTGTGGGAGGGGAGGGGGTGTACATACTATGACCCCCACTCCACATACACACAACAATAACAATAGCAAACCTTTTACAATCTGGGCCAGGCTTTGGTGACACAAGCCTTTAATCCCAGCACTCGGGAGGCAGAGGCAGGCAAATCTCTGTGAATTTGAGACCAGCCTGGTCTACAGAGAGGGTTCCAGGACAGCCAAGGCTACACAGAGAAATCCTGTCTCAAAAAAATGAACACCAAGCAAAAAAACCAAAACCTTTTTACAATCATTTCAAAGAGGAGTTAGCAAAGCCACACTGGACTTGTAGCTCAATGGTAGGGCACCGGCATAGAGAAGGCCCTGGGTTCCAAGCCGGGAGGTCTAAAACAGCCTGCCCTCTCCACCCTTTGAACAAGGCTGGCTGCTAGACTCCTTCAGGCCTCATTTCAGCAATGAAATGATCCCATGCCTCTTACCCTTCACTTTTCTTTCTCCTCTCAGCATCCCTTCAGTGGGGTCTGTCACAGTCTCATCCTGTGCTTTGATGAACGGTGACAAGCAGGCACATATCCCCTTCCTTTCTGATGGTGCTGCTGTTGTAGAGAACACTGTAGTTAGTGAGGTCTTCACAGGCCTGTACGTACACACACGTGCACACGGACATCATACACACCACACACAGGCTTTCTTTAATAAGGAAGAGACCTACATTAAAGGAATGTTCAGTTTTATTGTAGATTTGGCCAAGTCACCTTGCCCAAAACCTTGTCAAGTGAGCCTTTCCCCAATAAATCTTAGCACCTGCCAAGTCCCCTCCGCCTCAGTACTAGACATTGTCAGGGCCTGTGAGGTTCCTCAAACAAGGGCGAAGTTTGCATTCTCGGTAATGTTGGTTTGCATTTTCCATATTAGAAAGGACAATAAGCCTTTTTTCACATATGTACTCATCATTTGCATTTCTTTTCTTGTAACTAGCACATTTATTTTTTTTGTCAATATTTTCCTGCTTTGTTTGTTTGTTTGAGACAGGACTGACAGCACATGCCCTGTGTAACTGAGGCTGCCTTAAAGCCCCCATTCTTTTGCTTCTACATTTGGTGCTCTTTTAGAGGATGTGGGTTTGATCCCCAGCACCCACATGGTGGCTTATAATCATCTGTGACCCCAATTTCAGGGACTCCAGCAAGCACACATGTGGTACACATACATGTATGCAGGTAAAACATTCTTATACACAAAATAAAAATAAATCTCAAAAAATCTTTTTGATTTAAAATATGCTCTTCCCATATATTTGGTCAATTAATATTTATTTGGTCAATTTACTTTTTCTTTTAAAAGCTTTTATTTACATGTGTGTGTATTGTTGTATATATGT